GCAAGCGGCTGTTGATGAAGACCAAAGCAACAGGTGGATTAAGTTATTCATTCACAAAAACTGAACTACAGAAATGGAGCAAGCGCTAAGTAGAAGTTTTGATTATCGGGGCCAGTATAAACATGTGGAAAAGCTTATTGTGTGTATGTTTAATTCAACGTCTTCGCTGTTTCCTGTAGCCTACATGTAAGCAGCGTTCTCTACCCCAAAGGAGATTATAATGCTGTTTTACCCAACGCTGAAGTACAGAACTAACATTACATCTGAGGAAGACATATATTGCTTTCGGTTGCTTAGATTATTGCTGCAAATTTAAACCGAAGAAAGTATTGACGCGCTATCGCACCCAAGGGACTGTCTGACAATTCCACCGACTGGGTTAAAACGTCCAATGTATTTTAATTAAAATGTAAAATAACACTGTCAAATTCTAAAGCTTGTATTGCTTATAGTGATTTTCTACAGGTGAGTAATATGCAATTATTTACATATAAAGATCCCTGGAAAGGGTTTTTCATGTTCCAACGGTTGTAGTACGTAGCTAGATACAAGACTGACCTATTACAGGTTATAGTTTGCCAATATCTCCCTTACAGTATGTACAGTACACAAATATCTTTTTTTTTTTTTCTTTTTTTTTACTATTCACCAAAAGGGTTTTTTCCATGTTCTACAGGTTGTAGTACGTTGCTAGTTACAAGACTGATTTCATGTCTTACTGTATGTACCATTCACAATTATTTAAAACAAAAACTAAAAAATCTGTAAGACCCCAAAAGGGATTTTTCATGTTCCAAAGGTTGTATTATAAACTATTGATGTACTTTATGTACAGCAAGGGAGGTATTACTAAAATTGTACCTATAGTAAGTCAGTCTAGTCACTAGCAATGTACTACAACTTTTGGAACATAAAAAAAACTGTGAATTACAGTAATTTCTTAATAATTATATACTGTATATACAGTAAGGAATATATTGGCAAAATTTAAACTAGCAAGTCAGTCTGGTCGCTAGTAACATACTAGTAACATAGAATATTTGGAACACGAAAAACCCCATTTTGGTGAATTGCTGTAATTTTTTTCTTAAAACATGCGTGTAGTGTACATACTTAGGGAAAGTATTGTCTAAGGAGAGTTATTGGCAATATATTTAGTCCGTTTGAGTAAATTATTAATTTACTGTAAACATGAATTTAAATAAATTATTGTACTTCGTTTCGTTTTGAGGTAAATTTGATCAACCTGGGGCTCCTTTCACGATTTCAACCGAGGGGAACGTGATCGCAATTTCTTCCGAGTGGAACCCCCCGGAACGTGATTTACCGAGGGGAACGCGAAACTCGTCTGTACTGGGGGGGAACACCCCCTCGGACTGCGATTTCTAAGGAGGGGGAACCCCCCCGAGAAGACTATGAAGACGATGGCCAAAACGCTGTAACCTCGTCCAGTCGTTTAGTTGCAGCGCTCTGATTGTTTGTTTGTGTCATTTATCAGTAGTGACGCAGACTTGACACTCCTCTCGCAATCCCCATGACTGAAGCACTTCTTTTAATAGATTAGTGGATATACTCTCTAGCTTACATGTTGGTAAATGTTTTGATGTCTGTTTCTTTGTGCTATTAAACTGGGCTAACTTTCATTTGCCTTTTTTCACCATAGACCTCATGCCGCTGAAAGAGGAGTGCATAGTACCGAATGAAACGGAAGAGAAAGAACAATATGAGACTCATCATGATTTTAAAACCGAAGAATCTTCCGGTTGGCCACAGATTAAAGAGACTTTCTCACAAAAAGAACCGCTCATAAAACAGGAACTACAAGTTATTTCACCCCTTTGCACTGTGAAAAGAGTTTCAATGAACATGGAAACCTTAAAAGTCCACATGAGAGTTCATCCTGGAGGGAAGACTTTTACCTGCCAACAGTGTGGAAAGAGTTTCAGTCAAAAAGGAACTCTTAACAGGCACATGAGAATTCACACGAGAAAGAAGCCTTTTACCTGTCCTGAGTGTGGAAAGAGTTTCAGTCAAAAAGGAAACCTTAAAGTCCACATGAGAATTCACACGAGAAAGAAGCCTTTTACCTGCCCTGAGTGTGGAAAGAGTTTCGGTCAAAAAGGAACTGTTAAAGTCCACATGAGGATTCACACGGGAAAGAAGCCTTTTACCTGCCCTGAGTGTGGAAAGAGTTTCAGTCAAAAAGGAAACCTTAAATACCACATGAGAATTCACACTGGAGGGAAGCCTTCTACCTGCCCTGAGTGTGGAAAGAGTTTCAGTCAAAAAGGAAACCTTAAATACCACATGAGAATTCACACTGGAGGGAAGCCTTCTACCTGCCCTGAGTGTGGAAAGAGTTTCAGTCAAAAAGGAAACCTTAAATACCACATGAGAATTCACACTGGAGGGAAGCCTTCTACCTGCCCTGAGTGTGGAAAGAGTTTCAGTCAAAAAGGAAACCTTAAATACCACATGAGAATTCACACTGGAGGGAAGCCTTCTACCTGCCCTGAGTGTGGAAAGAGTTTCAGTCAAAAAGGAAACCTTAAATACCACATGAGAATTCACACTGGAGGGAAGCCTTCTACCTGCCCTGAGTGTGGAAAGAGTTTCAGTCAAAAAGGAAACCTTAAATACCACATGAGAATTCACACTGGAGGGAAGCCTTCTACCTGCCCTGAGTGTGGAAAGAGTTTCAGTCAAAAAGGAAACCTTAAATACCACATGAGAATTCACACTGGAGGGAAGCCTTCTACCTGCCCTGAGTGTGGAAAGAGTTTCAGTCAAAAAGGAAACCTTAAATACCACATGAGAATTCACACTGGAGGGAAGCCTTCTACCTGCCCTGAGTGTGGAAAGAGTTTCAGTCAAAAAGGAAACCTTAAATACCACATGAGAATTCACACTGGAGGGAAGCCTTCTACCTGCCCTGAGTGTGGAAAGAGTTTCAGTCACAAAGGAAACCTTAATTACCACATGAGAATTCACACTGGAGAGAAGCCATACTCCTGTCTTCAGTGTGGAAAGGGGTTCAGTCAAAAAGGAACTCTTAAAGTCCACATGAGAATTCACACTAGAGAGAGTCCTTGTATCTGCCAAGTGTGTGGAATGAGCTTCATTCATAAAGGATTACTTCATGAACACATGAGAATTCACGCTGGAGAAAAGGGTTACGTGTGCCATCAGTGTGGAAAAGGTTTCAACCAAAATGGAAGCCTTAAAGTGCACATGACAATTCACACTAGAGAAAAATCTTTTACATGCCCTCAGTGTGGAGAGAGTTTCGATCTACATGGACGCCTTAAATCCCACATGAGAGTTCACACTGGAGAGAGTCCCTTCACCTGCCAACAGTGTGGAAAATTTTTTACTAAAAAATCAAACCGTAACAGTCACATGAGAAGAGTACATGGCATATTTTCAACACAATCTTGATCAACACACGAGGATTCGTTTGAGATAACTGTTTTATGTCATCAGTGTGGAAGGAGTTTCTCAGACAGGAATCATGTAATAATGTTATGATGTGTAGGAAGCTCAGAAGTGAAGACCAGGGCCCGTATTCTTAAAGATTCTAAGAATCCTCTCAGAGAGCTCCTAATTTATCTTAAAAATTTCTACGTAGGAGTCTTAGCTTAAGAGCAATTCAGGACCAATCTGAGAGCAACTCTGAGCGAGGAAAAGACAAAAACTTTCATCTTAGTGAGGAGGCGGGGCTGACCCCGTTGCTACATCTGACACAGTCTTTTGAAGACTGTGATTGGCTGGTTTTTCAAAGGGAAAAAGAGAGAGTGCTTTAGTGTTTATTATAAGCCTTCACTTTGAAATTACAGGCATTCTATAACCGAACTCACATTTTCAGGACTCGCAACCGCATTCTCAGAAAGCACGCGCTGTATGAACTGGACAACTAGTGCGAGAGAGCCGCTCATGTGTGGATTCACTTTGGGCACAGCGACGGAGAAATGAGCCGTGTGTCATCTGAAGGTTTTTAGATCCAGTCACTGTTCTCCACCGGAGTAGTTTCCGTCAGTTTTGTTCTGTGCGTCACAGTGCGTGCGTGACTCAAATGCAGTGTCATGCGCGAGACGCAGAAAAGGATGCGAGTGCATATACGGGCTTGACTGTCGTTGCACGTTCATACAGACAGTATTCGAGACGCTAATGTAAGCTGCTGTTTGAACGGGACATTTCGAGACTGTAAGGAAATGCGGTTGTCAATCCCTAAAAAAACTGACCGTGTGAACGTGGCCATAATTAATGTAGTGATTACTTTCTGGCGCTATGGCATTTTTAAACTGTGTCTGAGATGTTAGCGTGTCTCTAATAATATCGGTCACAAACATGATCACTACACGATCTAATGTGTAGTGTCTTTATTAACTCACTGTCATGTATTGTGTGCAATGCATTTCTTCTTCCTCTTCACGTTTTGTTGATTTTCTCCACTAAAGAAACTCTTAAGCCTCTTAAAAGTCCTCGTCAGTACTCCTAACAATTTTGGACCTTAAGAGCTGTAGGGTATCAGACCGAATCAGTCAATTTAAGATTCGATCAAGAACATGGTTGAAACACGAGGAGCCGAATTCCACAGGAAGGCCCAAGACACAGGATGTTTGTAAATCAGACCCTGGCGCCACAAGCCTGAAGCAAGTCCACCAACTAGCAGCTTTGAGCAGCTCACAGCATTAAAACAAAAGAACACTTATTGGCAATTCAAAGGAGATTGTCAATTTTGGGGCAAGTAACCAAGATTAATGGTCAAAGACACAGCATATCATGATTCATGACCATAACATGAGGAAAATCATTAGTAGAAACTGCTTTGGATTGGTTTCCCCCACCTAGAAGACAAGAACCAGACTGAGATTCCTTAGGAGACCTTTTAACCTCTCTGGTCTTCACAGAACATGTCCTTATGTTCACAGAATGGCACAGAAACTGTCTTTTACAGATGTAGATGCACCAAAATGAACTCAGAAAGACTTATAAACGAATATCAGTCCATTGCTTAACTCCATATCACGTATGTAACCCACACATTTGAATGTCATGTTCTAATCACTTATTGTGTATGTCTTTTTAATAACTATTGAATAGCTTAAGGGTTCATATTCATGTTTAGTATGTGTGTGTTTGAATCTTCTTGCTTGAAACGTTTCTTCCAATCAATTCTTTGTCAAATGTATCGTATTCTTGTTACAGAAATCATGTCCAAAATTATACTCTGCAAGAGCGGGAAAATTTGGACCATGTGACTGATAAGATAACATGTTGATTGGGAGGAGAAACATACAACACCCCGAGCAAAGACAATATCTAATTGGTCAAAGACACCATTTGGGAGGTGGCCAACAACCCGGTTTAAATGCTCAGGACACCGTCAAACTATGCTTTTAGTTATGCTTCAAGTCATCACTTTTAGCCATGCGGCTTTTTAGCTTTCAGCTTCTAGCCTTTTTGCCACCGCGTTTTGACTGCTTTTTAGCGCTCTTTGAGCGTGCTCTGGCTTACACGCCAGCAGCTCCTCTAAAACCATGAGGAGAAAACCCATCTAGTCTCGTTACTTCTATTCTTCTACTGTACTTTCTTTTCCGTTGAGAGTTTCGTGTTCTGAGTTAAGTTTTGCCACAACAACGTGTCTCCGAGGTGACTGCCTCAAAACTTTAACCAGCCCACAACTCCGCATCTTCAGCCAATGCCCAACCATTGGCTTCCCAAGAGGTCACTTCAACGACTACTGAACTTCCAGCCAATCAGCAATCTCTGGAAACCCCCTTTCTTTAACAACAAAGGGAACTCTTATATTGAAAAGAGAAGTATCTTGTGTTTTGTTCTTACAAGTTAACGTCTTAAACTGTCGATCTTGTTACTGTGCTAATAAATAGTGTTTTCATTATACTGCCGTGCAAAGACAAAAGACCGTAACTTCGATTTTTGTCGAAAATGAGTTATTGATATTTTTGGGACATTCAAGACATCATTTATCATGTGTATAAGTATCTTGAGTCAATTTTGTTGTTTTTCCGAGAAAATAATGGGTCGTCTCAACCGTAACTTTGAAAAGCCCCGGAGAAACCAAGGCAGAGCACCGTATAGCACCAGTTACGGCTCTTTCACTTTGGAACGCTCAAACTGAGTTACGGCGTTCTGACTTTGCTTAGCCATTCGTCAAAATGAAGTTACGGTGCCGGCTTGGAGTTATACGGTGTTCTGCCTTCGTTTTACTGTCCATTAAAGTCTGCCGCATTTTAATTAAGGTGTAGACAAGAGAAGTAGATAGATCGCGATCTACCAAACAGCTCCATATAACAAAATACTGTAAAGACTAGAGACACCAGGCTGTCACTTCTAGTTGATGTCACTTCTAGTTGGACTCGTGTGGACTCGAATGCCGTAGATAGCATGATAAATCCTAAAATCAGTAGCCTACTAACAGTTCGCAATTAAATCCATATCCTTTACGGTCAAAAACAAAAAAACAATACAGTCATTACTACTGTCACACCCCTGTGGACTGTTGATTGTGGTTTCTCCCTCGGTGTCCTTATTTGGTTGTTCCTGTTCTCATTTGAGTTAATTACCTCATTGTGCTCACCTGTCTGCCCCTCGTTATCTGCCCTATATTAGTTCCTTTCTCTTGTATTCTAGTTTGTCGGTTATTGTGAATGAAATTCCTCCTCCTCCTGCTGAAGCAGGAGGGCAGGACTCTCGAGGACCATACCAGACCGTTCCTGATGGTTGCTAACGTCACCAGCTATCCGGACGACGTGCTCTGTGCTTTCTATGAGGCAAGTCTGAACACCGAGTTGTAATGGACGCTATACCCAGTAAGGTATTATGTCGTCTTAAAAATGAATGTAATGAAAACCCTAATCTGGATTATATAACTAATTCAGTTTTTCTTGGAAATATTTAGGGTGGCCGCGGATCCTTAAAAAGTCTTCAAGTTTTCCTAAAATAAGGCCTTAAAAAGTCTTAAATTCAGATTCAGTAGGTCTTAAATATTTTTGGTCACATTACCACAAACATTTCTCCAGTCTGACGAACCCAGTGAGTGTCTATCAAGAGTACTTTTCCCCCCCGCTGTAGTTACCGCGTCCTCAGAGAGAATTGCGGTTACAGAATACAGTCGAACACCAGCTCGCTGACCAGCCTCCGAACAACTTTAAATCGGTTAATGCAAGTTTACTGAAAAATGGCTTGAGAATTGTACTTGCCCGACAGGACTAATATTACAGTATTGTTTAAGTTCATTGATAAAATGTAAAAAATTTGGTTTACCATCCGACCACTTCATTTTGTGTATATGAAACTTCCTCATTACAACCAGTAATTGAATAATATACGCTTTATCCTTTTCTATCCCATAATCATCAACATATATCATTATATCAGACCCACCCAGTTTAACAACTGTATTAAGTTTTCTTGTAATGAAATTCTCAACATCAACCCAAAATATCTTTGTATAGATGCAATGAAAAAATAAATGAAAAATAGTTTCTTTTTCTTTACTACAAAATTCACAGGAGTAGTCAATATTCAATTTAAAACGTTCCAATAGATGTTTCACTGGATAAATTCTATGCAATATTTTATACGAAACGTCCTTTACTTTATTAACAAAGAATTTATCAACCATTCTCCAAGCCTTACGCCAATTTAAGTCTCCAAATATTGATGACCAGAAAAATCTAGCTGGAGGATATGTAACATAATTTACTAAATTTCTAATGTATTTATTTGGTATGTTGTTTTTTAAAATATTTCCTTACTTCATATTTAGTGAGCTCCCAATATTTCCCAAAGGTATTCATTATATTAGCCTGAGTCCAATACCTATCAATAATTTCTATTGCTTTCATTTTGAATGTTTCATTTTCTAATAATGTTTTATTAAGTTTCCAATATCCTCTATCTGCTTTATATTTACTTGAACCATATAATATGCGACTTTAGTGGGAGAGTTTAACATATCGTGCGCAGAAGTCGAACAATGTATAACAATAAAATTGGCCGGACAATAAAACTGTTTTTTGAGTGATGTTTCATCCATTGAAGCAGATGAGAGGAGATGTTTTTGGATGGAGGAGACGTCACTCTCAACAAGTAAGTGTTTTATTATATTCTATAATTATATTTATATATATTACACATATAATTATGTATATTATACTGTATATATTGAGGTACATGTTTGTGTTTTGCGGTGTTTTTGCTAACTTCTCTCTTCGAACTGTTGCCTTCTGGCCGGCGCTACAGAGCACTGAGCACCAGAACAGCCAGACACAAGAACATTTTCTTCCCCGCAGGCTATATTCAGCCTGGACAATTAATCTTTCATAATTATACATCGTCCATTTATATTAAACTGCACACTTTGTAAATAACATATCTGCGGATGGAGGAGACGTCACTCTCAACAAGTAAGTGTTTTATTATATTCTATAATTATATTTATATATATTACACATATAATTATGTATATTATACTGTATATATTGAGGTACATGTTTGTGTTTTGCGGTGTTTTTGCTAACTTCTCTCTTCGAACTGTTGCCTTCTGGCCGGCGCTACAGAGCACTGAGCACCAGAACAGCCAGACACAAGAACATTTTCTTCCCCGCAGGCTATATTCAGCCTGGACAATTAATCTTTCATAATTATACATCGTCCATCACGACTGACATAGTTATCTGAATTATTTATATTAAACTGCACACTTGTAAATAACATATCTGCACACTAATAACATCTGTACATTTATCTAAATACATTTTTTCCTATACTTCTATTTCTGTTTATAGTCCATTATTTAATGTTTTTTTTTTTTATTAGTGTTATTACATCCCTACTGTGTTATTCCTATGTATGTCTGTACTTTCTTCTGCACTGGAAGCTCCTGTCGTCAAGTCAAATTCCTTGTGTGTGTAAACATACTTGGTAATAAAGCTCTTCTGATTCTGTCATGTCTGTGTGTGTGTTTTATGATTTGAGGTGTTCCTGCTAACTTCTGTTGTGTGTGTTGCTTTTTTTTTTTTATATCACAGACAATCATCTGACATTGAATTGAATGAAGTCTGGGAGCCAGTCAGCAAAAAACCATATACCGAGGGACAGGATGACAGCACCAATGAAAAAAATCGTAAAAACACACTACATAATGTGTTTATGCTTCAGTTACTATGTGTCAGCAATTATTGACAGTGAATCGGTTCAAGAACAGCATGCAATTTACTTTGGGTATGCCTTTTTCAGGCGTTTTAGGCTAATTTGACAGGAATGCTAAGGGGTTTTAAGGGACTATTTGAATGGTTTAATAAAATTAGGCTCTGATATATTTGGTGATCCTAATGGCATTATCTCCGACTTATGAAAATTAACTTTACATCCAGAAATAACTCCAGATTGTTTGATCAAGTCAAGTGAAGTTAATTCAGGTAATGATATTTGCGGATTAGTTATGGTTAGCAAAATATCGTCCGCATAAAGCAGTATCTTTTGTTGTCTGTTACCAATACTAACACCTTAGATTTTTTGATTGTTTTGAATGTAAATTGCCAGGGGTTCTATTGCTATGGTAAATAATAGAGGGTCCCTCTATGAAGCACAAATGAGTCGGAGAGAACGCCGTTAGTTAACATGGCAGCCTAATGCGGAGTTCACAGGATTATCAAAGTCGTCGGATCACCGTTGTTTTCACGCTGCACGACTATCTGGGGTAGCATTCAGTTGCTGCTGGTGTTCACATTGCACGATGGATCGGCGACAGGAGTTTACACACTGCATGATTTTACAATACGAAGAATCGCTGCCCTGTATCTTGCTCTCTTATTGGCTGTAGGTCATCGCCGATGTATTATTCAGTCAGAACTCATTTTACACCGCAGGATTTTGAATCGCCGACAGCTCCAGATATTTAGCATGTCAAATGTTTTACAGGCATCGGTCGATTCTCTCAAATCGTGTCTTTGATATTGTCACAAATCCAATAATCCCATTGTAAACTAATGGTGCGTTCAAGTCATGTCGGATAGATTGTATTTACGAGTTGAACGCACATGAAAACGTCCTAGTTTTGGAAAAACAAAAACAAAAAAAACCTGCATACGTTGTCTGATTGAGAACTTCAATGGAAGATCAACAAAGCTCCATTTGTAGCAGTCCCACTTGTATAACGGTTTTGCCTCCTGTGAAATGTAATTAATTTTATTTTTTACCAGAAATGGATTCTGAATGTAAAGGAGAAACTGGTCTCCAGGGCTGAAGTGCACAAAACGATCTCTGAAGTTTCCAGTTAGTTTCTGTAAGAACTCGGCCATCTAACATTGCAGTTGTAGTGGACAGCACATTCCAGGGCCCAGTTTAGGGCGGGGCCCCTCTCTGACCACTATTGTGCTACATTTTGATTGGATGTTGGTGGACTAACATAAGCAAACTGTCCTACACCATCAGATAAAGATGCCAGGACAACAGCCAGACACCTCTTATAGGGCAAGAAGAAGACCTTTGTTACAAAGCCCGGGAAGGGCAGGACTTCTCATTGGTCAAAATGCAGTTTCTGCCCTTCACCCACCAACAGACTGATTCCTCAGGTTTTGGCCTGTGACCACCATAAAAATTCCTGAGGACCTCTGGATGCAGCAGCAGAGGGTGAAATAAAGAGGGATTACAGAGTTCCATCCAAATCCATTCATAACTATGTTCTCAAACCTTAAACTGATGCAAACTACAACACACACATCTTTTATTTATGCAGAGAAATAAGTATTCTCAGTGGCAGCGACGCGTAGTGCAACATCTTACACAAACTCTATAGACTAATGAATGCATGCATGAAAGTTCAATCTTCTTCCATCATGTTTGGACTTAAGGTGTTCGTAACATTGCCAAAGGTATTCTGGTCGTGGTTTGGTAAGTGAATAATGCATTGGTAAAGCTTTGGTGACACTTTTCTAAATGTGTGTTTGGACTATGCAAATAAGTTCTTAACTTGGTCGATCTGCTCGACCGCAGAGAACGTAACTATAACTTATCCAAACCTCTTCCAGAGACCTTGGCATTGTTGTGTATTATCAGTATATGATATATCTAATTTACATTAGATGTTATATAGCCGATTGCAGTTGATAACAAATAATCTTTCAGGTATTTGTTTCATGCATAATAAGGTTCCTCACCTTATTTGTTTCAGAGTAGCAACAGTTTATCTTTCCAGATAACGTAGCTCTGGCATTGCAACACCCAACATAATCTTATGCATCTTATGCACTTTATTCCTATTGTATTCATGATATTCATTTAGTAGTTGTTGATTACTCTTGTCTATCTTTTGTTAATAAATCTATTTTATTACACTTGTGTCTTCCTTGTGTTGATGATACAGAAAGAGGTTCTACAAGTTAGAGATCCCACCAATCTTTCTTATGTGATGTACTCATAACCACACCTTAAGTGACACGTGATCCAAATATCATAACGTCATTGGTGACGCGAGTACCCATCACTACACTATTTCGCCTCCCTAGGTTGGCGAAAGCAAAATTCACTACCCAGTGAAGCACTACAGTAGGTCACAGTGTTTTCTTTGTGCAAAAAAAATATTCTCGTAGCTTCATAACAGTATGGTTGAACCACCGATGTGACGAATGCAAGCAGAATCAGCAGAAAATAAAAACAGACAATAACAATAAGATAAAATGAGTATTGAATTTAATCAATTATTACTCGGAAGCAAATACAAAAATTGAAAATGAATGAGACCGATCTCTCTACTGAGAGATCTTAGAGAGTCAAAGCATCTAAAGAGAAGAGAAGCAACGTGTCTGGTTTCAAAGCTACATGAATGTATATTTTACATTTGCATGGAAGAGTAGAAGTGGAAGAGAAACTAGATGTTCTAATGAAGAACAAGTTAAAGGTGGGGTAAGCGATTTTTCAAAAACACTTTAGGAAACCGATTCGGGCCGAATAGCAAAACAAACTCGTAGCCAATCAGCAGCAAGGGGCGTGTCTACTCATGATGTGGAGGAGAGAGCGTTCAGTGCACGGGACGGACATTAGCAGAGCCGAGCGACAGAAAGATAGAGATGGCGGATAAAAAAAACAAAAGAGGAAAACGTCTGCGGAACAAAAGAAGGCTTACGGCAAGAAGTAGGACCCGTGTAAATATGGGATCAGCTTTCCAGCGCTGGAGAGAACTCAAGGAGCGGAAGGCCTGCGATCGGACGCCGAGGTTGCTTTGTTTCTTCTCGATAGATGAGTAACACTGTGCCTGCGCCGCAACAGCTAAAGTCTGTCTAGTACACTGGACGCGACAAAGCCAACATTGAAAATCATTTGAAATTTGTGTCAATACGTCATGAATAGAACGCAGCAGCAGTTTTGCTTTGTTTCACAGAACTAATCCGTTGCCTGGGTTGTGTACGTATGTGTGGGGTGGAGCTATCAAAATAGGGGCGAGACACTTTTGGGGTAGGGGCGTGTTTGTTTTGGTGATTTCAAATCACTTACCCCACCTTTAAAAATACTATCAGATTCACGTCTCTTAAAAGTGTCATGGCCTCTTTTTCAGCTCCCTGAAAGTTTTTCCAGTGTGAATTTTCTAGTGTTCTTTCAGATCATCATCTGTAGTAAAAGACTTCCAGCAGTTAAACACACACCGCCGTGTCTTTTCTGCTGTAATATTACGAATGAGTCTTCTCCTCGCGTGAATCTTCGGGTGTTTCTTCAGGACTGATGCTCAGTGAAACACTTCACTGCACTGCTCACCGTTAATTATCAGAACGAGAAGGCAGATGTGATTTCAGAGCGAAATTCCCAGTGTGAACTCTCATTTAGCCTTGATTCACACTGCAATCTTTTTTTTTTACACTGAAGGCAGGTGACAGATTCTTGTTCACATCCATCAGGTCTAAAAGAAACATTAAATCATTTCAAATGAGAGACAAACGTGAAATGAAAAGTGATGAAAACCCAAAAGTCAAGATCACTGACGAGTTCACTAGTCATTTTAATCCAACAAATCTGCTCGACAACTGCTGTGCACGATTATGATCTATTTTAACGTCATGAAGATGATTTGTGTAATACATCACTAATTTGGTCATGAAACTCTACATAGTTTAGGCTTTTAATGTAATCTGCCAACAGTCGCATTGTTTCCTACACAGCACAGGCTTCTTCAGCATGAGGAATGAAGAATAAACACCGATCTGTTTGTTCTTCAGAATCATGACGTTTCATTCCGCAGATTCTGAATCAGATTTCATTCTGCTCTCCTTCTGCTGTGATCTCTGATTGATTTCTGGATCTTCTGCCAAAAACAAACATTTCATTTTTAATAGATATGATGCGAGATAAATATTTCAGTTTATACACCAAGTACTAAGACTAATTATATATTTAGTCAATTATACCCATTTTAGGGTATAACTGCATTTATGGAGTTGTTATCCTGCATCATATTTGTCATCAGTCAACTATATGAAATAATAGTTTCATTTCAGAAAATTAATTACATAATGAAATACTTTCAAATAATAATGGTAATAATGAGATACTTTCTCATAATAACATGCAGTACATCCCATAATAATCAGATACATTCTCACAATAATGAGATACTTTCTTTTAATTATGTCTCAGTATCTCATAACAATGTTAAAAGATTAAAGCAGATATCAAGCAAACAACAAAACGTCCTGTTGCTCAGTGTGACTGAAAGGAATCTAACTTACTCAGAAGAGACTTACATAAAGATGAACAGCTTACAGTGATTTCAGACTGTGATTGTCTGTTTTGTATGAATGAATGAAGAAGATAACTGGATGAACCTCTCCTCACACGGTTCGCAGTGGTTTCTCCACTGCATGGATCTTCATGTGTATCTTCAGGTGACTTTTAAAAGCGAAACATCACATGTGTACGCTTTCTCTCCGCTGTGGATCCTCTCATGTCGTTTCAGATTTCCTGACAGACTGAATCTCTTGTCACAGTATGAACACTTGTGAGGTTTCTCTCCAGTGTGGATCCTCTGGTGCAGGTTTAAACAGCTCGCTGAAGTAAAAGTCTTGTCACACTCAAAGCACATGTAGTCTCTCACATCAGCATGCATTTTCTCATGTTTCTGTAAACTTTGCAGCAGTGGAAAACTCTTTCCACATTCAGAACATGAATGTGGCTTCTCCTTCGTATGAACTGCCAGGTGTTTCTTCAGGTCTGATGCCCAAAGAAACGTTCTGCCGCATTGATCACACGGGTACATAATATCTCTTGTGTGAATCCTCATGTGAGCATGAAGGTATGATGATAGCTTGAAGCTCTTCCCACACTGATGGCATGTGAATGTTTTTTCTCCAGTATGAATTCTTATGTGATCCTCAAGACGTTGTTTTTATGAGAAATTATTTCCGCACTGATCACATGTGAAGGGCTTTTCTCCAGTGTGAACTCTCCTGTGACGCTCAAGATGATGCTTATGTGTGAAACTCGTCCCGCACTGATCACACGTGAACGGCTTCTCTCCGGTGTGAACTCTCATGTGAAGTTTAAGATTACGTTTGGTTGAGAAGCTCTTCCCGCACTGATCACACGAGAACGGCTTTTCTCCCGTGTGAACTCTCATGTGTCCTTTAAGGTTTCCTTTTTGTGTGAAACTCGTCCCGCACTGATCACACGTGAACGGCTTCTCTCCGGTGTGAACTCTCATGTGAAGTTTAAGATTACGTTTGGTTGAGAAGCTCTTCCCGCACTGATCACACGAGAACGGCTTTTCTCCCGTGTGAACTCTCATGTGTCCTTTAAGGTTTCCTTTTTGTGTGAAACTCGTCCCGCACTGATCACACGTGAACGGCTTCTCTCCCGTGTGAACTCTCATGTGAAGCTCAAGATTATGTTTGGTTGTGTAACTCTTCCCGCACTGAGTGCAGGTGAAAGATTTCTTGGCTCTTCTTTTCTTTAAAAATGTATTTTCAGTCTTCGAGCGACTCAAAGGTTTTCCTCCAGGTTTGTCATGATGTTTCTCCTCCACTTCACTCAGTTCTTCACTCTCCTCGCTCTCTTCCATCAGGTCTGAAATGAAAAAAAGTTTACATTCATTTTCAGTAAATCTAAATAATTCAATATCAGGAACATGAAAGCACATGCAAAAAATGCATTGACTGTGGCAACTTTAACATTTGAAAGGATACTATGGCAAAGTTATCGCTTTCCTTACTCAAACTGATTTTTTTCTGTGAATATATGGTTGACCTGAAGAATGAAAGCTATATCATACACTTGGAAAATTATGATCTATATCACTGCTTATCGACACTAGGGGTGTGACACACTTAGCTCACGAGATGAGACAAAATACAGATACTTGGTTCACTAGAACGAGAACGAGTTTTAATACTATTTTTAAGAAATTTTCATTGACAAAATATTTGTCTTAGTTACAAAAAGTAAAACAATGCAGTTGTATTTTGAAATATTTTAACTAATCTAGGGCTGTAACTAATGATTATTTTGGTAATCAAGTAATCTACTGATTATTTTGACAATAGAGTAATCAGATATTTTTTAGTAACACAAACAGACCTAAATGAAAACCAGGCTTTAGTATGACTATTTATATATAAACTAACGATGAGGCAATAATAATTGGCTCAAATAAAAAAGTATGAAAACCAAATAATTATATGGTTTTATTGAACAACACTGTAATATAATAACAATAATGTAATATGCCTATAAATAATATGAACATAACCGACTTAAGTACATTATGTATTATAACAAATACCTGCAGAGGGCGCCAACGGCCTGGTGACGGTTCACTTTACGGCGTGATTAAACGATGTTTAAATCCATTACATTTTAATATTTGGCCACATGCAAACTCAGAAACTTTTATTTTGAAATCGCGATGTACAATAAATGGCATATTTAGGCATAGGTTGATGTATTCTCCGGTGTTGGCAAAGGTTTACAAATGATTTACGTTGAAAATCTAGTGAGATAATGCACACTTGTTTTCCCAGATGAACGTTAAGCAATTCAAATTCACAGCATATGCAGAGGAAGAGTTTAGCCCCTTTCACACATAAATTACTGGTAAGTTACCGTTAAGAGATCATGTGTGAACAGGACCTTTTCAAAAATCTCGGTAAATTTGTTCTCGCAATCATATCGTTCTTAAGGAGATGACATGATTACTCTGACCTGTTTACAAAGCTCCGCTGCTTTTTAATTAGTTTTTCTATGTAAATATGCGCTAGATTACGGAGCCCCTAAAGGGACACGATGCCTTTCAGTTAGTGCTGTCAAACGATTAATCACAATTAATCGCATTCAAAATAAGTTTTTGTTTTACTTAATGTGTGTGTACTGTGTATATTTATTATGTATATATAAATACACACACATGGAAATATTTTCACAATATATACGTGCATGTATTTACATGCATATATTTATATTATATATAAATATATTTAATATATAAACATAACATATTCTTCCTAAATATATATGTGCATGTGTGTGTATTTATATATACATAATAAATATACACAGTACACACACATATATTACGGAAACAAAAACTTTTATTTTGGATGCGATTAATCGCGGTTAATCATTTAAACATCTCTGAAACTTTCCAAAAATTAGGTACATTGATCTTCCTATAATTATTTTTAAAACATAAATACAAATCACACATTTCGGTAGTGAGAAGTATTAAATATATTAAATCAATGACACAATTATCGAATTGTAATATTATCAAAATATGATAATATTATCAAAGCAAAGATGCAGTAGATCACTTCCATCAGCATCCCAAAGCTTGCACAGTCCTTTACCTCTTCCTGGATCCACATTTCACTCGCTAACATTAGGCAGCTTTCATTTATAAGCTGTTTATTATTGAAGATCGAATTATTTTTCACATGCATAGCCTGATGTATCTTTCGCATCCCAAATATTGGTAAAGTGCAGAGAGTAACGAGGCAATTGGAATTCGCCAGTTTACTGCTATTTTCACAAATAATAGTCCTATTACTAAATTACCAAGTTGAATCATTTTTTTTTTTTCAAATTGCAGAATGCAATTTGACTTTTTTCATCTTCTAAGCAAAACTTAAATTTGAACTTATTAGTTATAAAATAACATGAACATCCAATAAAGACAATTAAAAACACAATAGACAAAACAACAAAAATAAAGACGAATGATGTTTGAGAGGTAACACGTCTTATTCCAGTAGTTATAAAATAACTTTATATACAGTTTAATCAATTGAATATAATATATTTAATGCAACAACACATCTATTTGCATTAAAGCCCTTTTCTCAACAAAAAGTGTTTCTAAACTAGTGTTTCGCGATATTTGAAGTATCGATGTAAAATTTGTGCACAGAAAAACTAGAACTACCAAATTTTGCTATGAGTTCGATTGCATCATATAATAATTGCTGTTAATAGTGTTCATCGTCTGTTTGATTGTCTTTAATTGATTTTTCCGTACATTTCTGCCATATGTACATTAACTGATAAGCTACCACTAAATATTGTAGAAACTTAATTTGCTGCAAAGTTGCTTTGCAACTATTTGTATCGTGAAAAGCAAAAACAAGCAACAACAACAAAAAAAAAGGAAAAACAATAAATGGTATGGTTTTACAATAAACTATAATACTTAAAACATGAAAATAGTGAAAATTTTAATTAAATAAAAAGTGTTCATTGCTGTATTAAATTTAGACCTGCTCATGTTGCATCATATTTCTTTTTACGCGTTTTTACAGCATTGCATATTATAACCAATCACACATGATTGTGTTGAGCTTAGGAATGCAATGTCCAATCAGAAGCGTTCAGATGAGCCATCGCTGAAACACTGAAGTTTTGAACAAATTCTGACTGCAACTCGCAAATTCTCCCATTATAAGCAACAAAGTGCAGATGTATGCACGATGCAAGCAAGATATTCATTTATGATAAAGTGTACGCGCAGCTTCAAACGGGTTTTGAGTGCTTAAACTCTGGCTAGACTGAAGTCAGTGATCTTTCATGTAAATGTTCTTTGCTGGCTTTCTCTATCATTTACTCGCTGTTTGAATACCTGTGAAAATGTGAATACCTGTGTTAGAATTAGAATGTTTTTCCTGAATTGTGATCAACTTCCGTCATATTAAACTATTCCGTGGTACTTGTCTAAACAGATGGGTTTATGATGTGTGTAGTTATATACATTATAGAGTACTTCAGCCTTACCCTGCAGTTGGTTCACCCTCCGCCTATGGGTAAGATATTTAATTTGTGTATGTATATATGTACAGTATATATATATATATATATATTTTTTTTTTTTTTAAATAGCAAATCGCAATTGGATTTTTTTTACCCAAATCTTGTAGCCCTAAATAGCTGGCACTGAAATAATGCTGAGTGTAAGGAAGACATTCAGTTCAAGCCACAGAATCCCCCTCAGCCTTTCACAGCATTTCCTTACGTACTTAAATGTTTAAATAAAGGTGACTTGACTTGATCTAGCTGCTCAGACAAAGACAAACATTGGACAACTGGACTCCGCATTGACCAGGATCAGAGACTTGGGGAGTTTGGATGGAGACTGTGGGAAAGGACACACCGTCTGCAGACATAGCATCTCTAAACTTCACTCAGTAGGGTGTCTGTGTTCGTCCATATCTCAGCAGATCAAAGTACTTAATTACACAGTCACTTATGACATAATTTCCCCCCTTTAAAATCATCTGGGCTCTTGTTTTCAGCACAATGGAAAGACAAGAAATTGATCCATTGTCTCAGTTTTCACACAAACTGTGCAGTGCTGATCACATTCATTAACATGGTTACCAAGGTTACTGTGAGAAGAATAATCTCCATAACTATAAAGAACTTCTAGAATTTATGTGAAATGCACATTTATTAACTATAAATCAGATTTTGCTTTAGTCATTACTTGATACATTCTGGTGTTTACGGTTTATAACTGAAAAAAAAAACAACAACAAAAAACGCAATGTTGTAAACTATATTGAGAAATGTAATAAAAATTGTGGTTTGTTTGCAAAGAATTGTGAACCAGATATAAAATATATATAAAATAAAAGCGGTAAACTAAGTCTGACCTGATGTTGATGTTTCTCAAACCTCCCATTACAGATCTTTTGTTAAAATCCCCACAAAAACAACATTTTGTACCCATTTCATAGTTTAACTGTTTATCTAAATCTGATGAAGTACTGCACTGTTTGCAGAGAAGCATTTAATTTCCTCACGCTGAACTTTATACTTACACACATCCGAGCTTTTAATAGTATAGGCCTATTGTTAGTATTATTTTTACTTTGGATAATCTCCTAATATGATATATCGTCAGAGCTAACTATTATATTTGTAGGCATTATTAGACAGATAAATACATATATTACAATTAATTGATTTATCGTTAATAAATATTATTTAAGGTTTTAAAAGTGTGAAATTATTTAAATTAAAATGGAACAAATAATTACGCAATAATTTGAATCGTAAGTTCTAAATAAGTAAAAAATGTGATTACTGGTTCAGAATCTGATTAAGGCACACCAACATATACAGAAGAGTTCTTTAGAAAGAAATAAAAGAATCAAATAATTGTGGTTTGTTTGCAAAGAATTGTGAACCAGATATAAAATATATATAAAATAAAAGCGGTAAACTAAGTCTGACCTGATGTTGATGTTTCTCAAACCTCCCATTACAGATCTTTTGTTAAAATCCCCACAAAAACAACATTTTGTACCCATTTCATAGTTTAACTGTTTATCTAAATCTGATGAAGTGCTTACATCTTTATAACATGAATGAATGAGAAATCAAGAATAA